TCATAGCAAGCCAAAACCTGTACACATCCTATGAAATTCGTTAGTTCAGCTTCCGATTTAATCGTCTGCGTATCGCTCACCGCCAAGCCGTTCAACAAATTCAGAAGAACAATTATAACAATAAATACAAAAATCATGAAAACGATGCAATTAAAAGCGTTTTTAAAATTGATGCTTGCAGCGTCGAATTCACCCGTGGACATCACCAACGTCTTCATGATTGACAGCCCGAGATTCGAGAATTTATTGAAGTCTTTATCGTCGTTGTCACTACTCGTGTTTCCTTTTGCACTGTTCATACTCTCTTCCAATGGCTCATTTAACAATGTGAAGAACGAAAGAGAAAATGCCAATGGAATGATGGCATACAGTAACAAACTTTTCAAGAAGCTCCAGCTTACCGTTTTCAGCATAACGTAGTGAGTGCAAAAAGACCAAAATGGCAGTGACCCAGCCAGAAGGAAGATTTCTATTGCAATCAGTAAAATTGATGAAGCTGCAAAAATACGACGCCAAGTATCTGAACAAATATCGGACAAAACCAATGTGACCAGCACGATCATTGCCCATTCAAAGTAATTTTCTGAACACTTTAAATAGATGTACGGCGAACAATTAAGTTGCAATATTTCCCGCACCGCGATGTGAATAGTTAACAGTAATATGATCACACGCATCACGGTATTTTGTTCATGGTAGTTGTAATACACCAAAATATATGTAATAGTGATAAAAGCGTGCAGTGCACACAAGAAGAAATTTACATAGTAGAATGGTGCCATTCCTTTCCATTTCAAGGACAGGAAACTTGCAATAAGTGGATGCATTGTCAAATGCTTGAGCTCATTTGATTTTGACATGTATTCAATCACACCCATTTCATCAGCAATACTCTTTATTTGTGAAGTTGCGTCTGGAACTAGGTTTTTAAAATCGAATTCAATTTCGAAACTTGTATCATTCGTTTGTAAATCATTGGCTGTGATACAACTGTCAAAGTGTTCCTCAAGCACATTGGGATCAATACGTGAGATTGTACAATCACTCCATACATTTTGCCCACCAATGAAGGCTCCTCGTTCTAATAGCTCATGAGCTGCTTTAGATTTATTCCACTGAATGGCACAATGAAGTGCGGAATGATTGTATTCATCTTGCAGGTTAATATCAATATCTGGATGATCCAATAGCATTTGCAAACATTTTTCGTAATCGACGTTCTCTGATGCCTCGTTTCTGGAATTTAGCACAACAGTATGCAACAGTGGTGCTGAGTTTACATCCAATTCTGGTGTTTTTAATAAGATATCCAACGATTTCCAGTGACCACGATCACACGAACTTTGTGCCGGCGACAAAGCATCTTTTTTGGTGTCGTCAACGAAATTTACATCGGCTCCTAGTTGAATCATTTTTTCCAACGCCGTCACTAAATCTTCATGAGCAGCAACAGTCATAAGTGTTTCTATGCCCACGGAAGCAGTAAACAGCTCTTGAAGCATCTCTTCACTTTTTTGAGCTTGCTTCAAGCCTTCAAGGAATTCCTCCACTTTCTTATTCTTCAATGAGAATAGCAGACGAATGAAATCCCATTCTTCGTTGATCTGAATGTTATTTGGCAATTTTAAGTTTCTCAAAATCACTTCTTGATTGGCAATATTCAGGTGTGGATTCTTTAGGATAAGCTCAATTGGAGTTCTATCTTGCCAGTCAGGCAACTCCACGCTGGCGCCGCTTTGAATCAGCAGTTTGACACACGGCAAGATGTTTGGAAAACTATCATCGGTTATTTGTTCAGTAAGGACATGTAATGGCGTCAATTTAAAAGAAGAATAAACTGCATCCACATCAACACTTGGATATTTTAGCAGAGCGGCCACATTCTCTTCGCAATACGATACGGCAACAAAAATAATTGGTCGTTTATTGACTTCGCCATTCAACTGAAAACGAATCACATACATTTATACAGGTTAAGTTTGTTATTTAACTTTAGGGAACAAACGGCAGAACAAACATATATATTTACATCAGAACCGGCTGAAATACACACGTCAATAAATTGGGCGCTGCCTGGCGTTCTGCAAGCCACTTCAAATATTTTACGTTTTTCAGCTTCTGATACTGAATTTAGTGCATTGCGGAATGAGTTGATATCACCACGATCAATTGCATTTACTAGACTCTGGCGGATTTGAAAAAAATATTTATGATAATTGAGTATTATTAGATATTCGATCTTTAGTAAAAATACAGTACGGATAATATACTCAAAATATACGTTTTTAGTAAAAATTGTATCTTCCTGCTAAAAAAATATAATATTCACCTAAAATTGTGTCGCTGAGCATAAAAATGGGAATACAGATCTGTTACAGCAACAACCGAACATAAAATATTGTTCCCTAAAAACGTTACATGAATTTCTATCCAATGCGAGTGCAACATGAGCTAATACTGTTTCTAATGCAACTCATGTTACACTCACGTTAGATGGAAATTCATGTAACGTTTTTAGGGAACAATATTTCATGTTCGGTTGTTGCTGTAACGGATCTGTATTCCCATTTTTAAGCTCAGCGACACAATTGTATTACTTGACATGATATTTTTCAGCATGAAAGGAGCATCTTTTTACCAGAATATAAATAGAACACTCATCGAGGTGGCAAGATGGCAATATATTTGAAGGTGAAAAGATTCCGAAAAATATTATGGAAATTTTACTTGAACAGTATATTTTAGAAGATACAATTTATAATCAAAACGTATATTTGGAGCATATTATCTTTACTGTATTTTTTACTTGAGATGGTTAACTTACATTGTAGTCGCCAGTGCATACTAACGGAATCCCTGCCATTTTCAAGCTTAGAGTCCCTGTCATTTATCGAAACTGTAGAAAATTTTAATTGAATAAATAAAATCAATTATATATTCATTTGATGAGACTTTGTTTCTATATTGTGTTATGGGATTATTTGTGTTTTATTCCACAACTATCAATTGACATCAAAAAGACATTGATTCAAAGAAAAAATATATTAATTTTCCTCTCGATATCGTACGAGTTTCGAGCGAACTTATCTATGATACCGAAACATTTCCCTCGTAAAAAACAACTACTGAAATCATAAACTGACCACTGTTCAGATGTGACAGAAAACACACTTGTGACTACACTCTACATTAAACCACTTATTCACTCATCCGTGTTGTTGCATGCATTCGCAAGGCTGCCGTATGAAATCAATGAAAGCAAGTCGAATAACTACTGTAAGAATTGATTATTCATTGGCACAGTAAGAGAATCAAGTAAGCACTATTTACTCATTCACAAACAGTTTATATTAATGCGTCGTTAACCCGTATTGTTAATATCGCATAATGTCAGTATAAGCTACTCTCGTTCTCTGTTCTGTGAATTGATGATGCGGCTATTTGCAATAAGCACGTAAAACTATCGTTAGATAGCCGTACCAATGATCGTTTCGAATATAACAGCATTACGTGATATCGATTCAATATTATTGAACCGCATTGGTTGTGGACACATTGATTGCAAACTCACTACTGTTCTACGATTGATCACATCGATCCACACTTTTTGAATGCAAAATAAAATACAGTAATAGAATTGAACAAACGACTGAAGGAGCGAAGAGAATGATCAATAATATCTTAACCAAATATGGGTATTTCATATCACTACACTAAACTTACCTTGACCACAATCAATGAAAATATTTAAGCCGCAATTTTTTTATGATTCAACTGCCACCCACACTGCTGACCAATTCAATGCTTCTCCTTCTACTATCTAAGTTAAACTGTCAGAGCATATATGGAATGTAAAAGATTTCAAACACTGCCGTCCTTTGCGACTACAATTACAACTTTTGCAACCGGTTCTTATTCGTCTATAAAGAGGGGATGAAAAAACCGATTGATTTATGTATATAATTGATAATATAATCTTGATTGAAAATAATGAAATTTACATTAAAAGTATCCATAAATTCAATAATTACAATGGTTTTGCTTCAGCACAACAATTCATTAGACTTAGTGTGTTTATGTATGTTCCGGGTAAACATTCGCGTTTCTAATTTATGCATCTCATAATGAAACTTATAATCCTTGGAGAAAGTAAATAAAAATACGATAATCGAAAAGAAGAGAAACTGAGCGAAATATACAAATACAATAGAAAAAAAATCATCTCTTGAATGAATTACAAATGATTTTTATAAAAAGTTTTAAATAGCATGTTGCAAAAGTGCCTCACTGTCATTTTGTATGAAAATTCTACAAAACGATTTAAGCGCTGTTCGTATGATTACATGACGGCTTTCATTTGAACTAATGTGAGGTACATTTCAAAAGTAAATTGCAACATGCTATTTTGCGTTTTTTCATGATTTCATGAGCAAACTTCAGCTCACCAAAGATGAATGCTTTGCATTAAATTACACGTAAAAATAATCAAAATAATCAAGTAATATTTTGATTTGTTGAGGATTTAGACTGCAAAATGAAAATCGCCTCTAGATGAAAAGAATATTTTTCTAATATTGAATTACCCAAGCTCGCCGGACGTGAAATGTTCCAACGCCCGACGGGCCCTTCAGAATCGAAAATTCCATATATCCCGAGCACCAAAGCTCGGAAGTCGGGCAAATTTGTCACTTTCGAGCCGGTGGCGGGCGGGTTTCGGGCCAATTGTTCGGTCCACTTGCAACCTTTGTTTCTAAGAAGTATTTTAAGAAATTTTGATATTTTTGCCGATGTTTTTTTAAACTCCAGTTTGTAATTTGAGAGATTTTGATTACAGTTGCCCATAAGCAAAAGGAGGAAAATAGTTTTTACATCATTTTGGCGTCTCCACTCTCTCCGTCTATTTTTGCTTTGAGACTTGAAGTCTCAAATGCAAATCTATATGGTGGAAATGGAGACGTCAAAATGATGTTTCAAATGTACGGGAGACTATCGTCGTCCTTTCGAGAGGATTGACCATGAACAACTTCAATTATGTTATTGCCGATGGATATCTATGACAAAATTGTTATGACAAAAAACACTTACCCTAATGAATACAAATATCATGAAAACCACGTAACTAAAGACAAAGTTTTTTTTTGAGTATAACTGAAATCTTGAACATTTCTGATGAAGAAAAAATCTTGGAGCTTCTGTTCACTTATTGGCATTGACGATTGAACAAATTAAAAAAATAATGTCTCAACGGTAAGTTTCAAAAAAGGGGATCAAATCATTAGAGCGAAAATGTAATGCGGAAAGTTGAGCGGAAAAATATGGATGATGAATGAGCGGAAAAGCGATAGCTATATAGTAAACTATAGTGAACTATATAGCTATCTCTTTTCATTTGACATTTTTCCTCTCAACTTTTCTGTATGACATTTTCGCTATAAACCCCTCATATGTATGATTGACTCTGCTTATTTGCACCTCATTTTTTTTGTTGAGTATAAATACACATACAAACATATAGAAAGGACAACCAAGCTATTTTTGACATTTGTCGACCAAGCGGACTAATATCGACTCCAATTTCTTTTTCGATACCATAGAAAAACAGAAGTAAATTTGTCGTCAGTATTTTCGTGTATTTTCGGGTTTTTCTGAAACTCTACAAAATCGTTTAAATTGCAGATAATCAGTTTCATTTCTGGTAAATATTGAGAGTGATTAGTACATAAGATGACAGAACAGTTTTTATTCCGCTATCTTCCATAGAAATGAATAAATAAAAGGCCGCTCAGTAATGAAATTTTGAAATTTGCTGTACTATGTCACAAATGTCTTACATTTTTTGTTGATATCAACAATCTCCCACATTGAATAATGACAACTTGTTACTTTTCTCATAATTATAAAACACATATGATTTACTTCATTTCTTCAATAGGTCATTCAATCTATTTGCAATCGTCTCTAATGTCGTTTCCATTTTGGTCATTCGTTTATTGAACTTTTCTCTTTCTTCTTCGTCAAGTTGTTCTTTTGCATTCTTTTCCAATACTTGAAAGGCAAGTTTAACGATCTTCGAATCCATACGAGTGCATCGATTGGAACACGTTAGGTGATGTATACATAATAGAGGTCTAAGATTATCATCAGTTTCATTAATTTCTCCATGATTACTTAAATCGGGAATTAGAATTTGGTTATTATCGTTTGGTTTGATTCGAATATGATAAACCGATTTTGACTCTTCAAATGTGTCGTTGTCCACACAAAATGGGGAAATTTTCAAGAATGTTGGATAACTGGGAAAAAGAATGAAATAGAATACTTAATTGTATAAGATCATTTGAATAAAAATGAATTGTCTTGGGAATTCGAAATTCGTTGCTCGAAATGAATTCCCTTAGTAAGAGATTCTTACCTGGTAGCTAGTACACCTTCATATCGAGCTAAAACTTGTGCTCGTCTTATAAAATTCGTTAGTTCAGCTTCCGATTTGATTGTCTGTGTATCGCTCACAGCCAAGCCATTCAACAAATTCAGAAGAACAATTGCAACGATGAATACAAATATCACGAAGACGATGTAACTAAATGCGTTCGTTCTGAAATCGATGCTGGCTACGTCGAATTCACCCGTTGACATCACCAACGTTTTCATGATTGACAACCCGAGATTCGAGAACTTATTGAAGTCTCCATCATCGTTGTCATCATTCATTTCTCCTTTCGCACTCTCTTCCAATGGTTCATGTAACAATGTGAAGAACGAAAGTGAAAATGCCAACAGAATGATGGCATACAGTGAGAAACTCTTTAAGAAGCTCCAGGTAACCGTTTTCAGCATAACGTAATGAGTGCAAAAAGACCAAAATGGCAATGACCCAGCCAAAAGGAAGATCTCGATCGCAATCAGCAAAATGGATGCAGCTGCAAAAGTACGACGCCAAGTGTCTGGACACACATCGAACAAAATCAGCATGACCAGTACAACTAACGTGCATTCCAAGTAATTCTCTAAACTCTTTAAGTAAACGCATGGTGAAAATGTGAATTGATACATTTCTCGTGCTGCGATGTAAATGGTTAACAAAAAAATGACCACACGCATCACATCCTTCAGGGAATTCGGTTCATGGTAGTTGTAATACAGTAAAATATACGTAACGGTGATCACAGCGAACAATGCACAGAAAATGAAATTGATATAGAAGAACAGTGCCAAGCGATTCCACTTCAAGGACAGAAAACTAGCGATAAGCGGATGCATCATCAATTGCTTGAGGTCATTCGATTTTGAAATATATTCAATTGAACTCATTTCATCTGCAATGTTGTCAGTGTGAGAAGTGTGAAATGGAACCAAGTTTTTAAAGTCGAACTCAATTTCAAAATTATCGTCGCTCGTTCGAAATCCATTGGTTGTAATGCAACTGTCGAAATGACTCTCAAGCACTTTTGCATTGATATTTGAGATCGAGAGCTGATCAAATTCATTTCGCACTCCAATGTAGGCTCCGCGTTTCAGCAACTCAAGAGTGGCTTTAGTGTTGTTGAATTTAACCGAATAATGCAGCGCTGTACAGTGAAATACATCTTGTTGATTAATATCAATATTTCGATGGTTCAATAGGATTTCGAAACACTTGTCGTAATCGATGCTCCTTGATTGTTTGTGACCGAGGTTCCTAACAATGGTCGGTAACAGAGGTGCTGAATTTAAATCCAATTCTGGTGATTTCAACAATATTTCCAGCGATCTCCAGTGACCACGAATACATGCACATTTTACCGGTGACAACGTATCTCTCGTTGTATCAACAAAGAAATTCACATCGGCCCCTAATTGAATCATTTTGTCCAATGCCATTGCCAAATCCTTTGCAACAGCAACAATCAGCAGCGTTTCTCTGCTCTCCGACGCAGTAAACAGTTCTTGAAGAGTTTCAGGGGTCTTCTCAACTACTTGCTGTAACCCCTCAAGAAATTCACTCTCTTTTTCATTCTTCAGTGATAGAAACAGACGATTGAAATCCCACAGTCTATTGATTTGAGCGTTATTTTGTGATCCATTCGGCTTTGGCGCCAGTTCAATTTCCGGTAGTAGGTTTTGGAGTAACGACCGTGCTTCACCATTTCGGTGAGTGTCAATGTCCACTTCAACCACATTTTGTAGTAAATATCTCACGATCACTTCTTTATTGGCATTGTTTAATCTTCGATTCTTTAAAATGTTCACAATTGGAGTTATTTCACGTCTGTCCGGTACATTCACATCAGCACCATGTTGAATTAGTAGTTTGATACACGGAAAGACACTTCGGAAGTTTTCGTCAGATATTTGTTCAGTCAGGGAATTTACAGGTGTTTTTAACACGGAGCATTTTGCATTCACATCAACACTTGGATCTCTTAGCAAGGCTGCCAAATTTTCTTCACAATGCGACTCAACCACGAAATTAATTGGACGCTTATGCAGCTCGGGGTTTAACTAAAAGAAAAAAAAACAGTCATTTTTTCATTGGCAAAAACATATAGGTTCAAATTATTGGATGGAAAAAAACTTTTCGTATTGATTTGTTGATCAAATTGTCATCACGAATGTAGTTCACTCAAAATTCATGACACCATTTCATTAAAAACACATACCTTATTAACATCACAACCGGCTAAAATACACTCTTCAATGAATGGGGCACAGCCTGGCGTTTGACACGCCCGTTCGAATATTGTCATCGTCGTGTCGATTTCGCATTTTTCAACTTCGGTGGGTGAGTGTAGCGCACGTCGGAATGAATCTATATCACGACTTAATAGTGCGCTCGCTAGACTCTAATGGGATTCAAAGAAACGTTTTATTACCGTCGAAAAAACGAAAACAATTGAATGTTATTCACAAATTCAAGGTTAACTTACTTGATGGTCACCATAGCACACTAACGGATGTTCTTCCATATTTGTAATTTCGTCTGAAAACTGAAGAGAATTTAAATTTTATTACTCTTTTCTTATTATGAAGTTGTATTACAACAACAACAACAATGTAACACAATCAGCACACAGATGTCAACTAATTAATATATTTAGCAAAGAAATTATGAATTCACTTCATGAATACTCAATTGTGACTTAATAAATATCGTACTAATGAAAGTAAATCGAATATCTAATCCAACAAAGCAAGAAAAACGTCTTTTAATTGCTATTGCACAATGCACATTCACAATTGAACGAAATGCATTGGAATAGACTCAATATTGCTTGGTTTATCAGTTAATTCAATGATAATTCAATGAACTAGAACTACATTGCCGTGCGTGTATTGCAAACCATAATATTGTTTTCAGCTTTTATGCCAGTTGAACCTGGTCTACAAGAAGAATAACAGAGAATTATTGCTCATATTTTACCGTCCTACATAAAAATGTACACATTTTAGCTTTGTTTTATAGAATTCCATTGAATCGACCAACACACAAACCACTCAGAAAACATATATTTTTCATATGATTGTTAAACATACTTTCAACGTTAAAGCCAATCGATACTTCGTTCACATTTCTACCAAAAATGTGAGTTCTTTGCTTCAGTTCAATTTTCAGCATTGGTACCAATTCTTTTTTCTATATTTTTTTCCATTTAGCTTTGGAAAAACACTCAGAGCAGCACAATACTCATATTTCATTGCTCAACACTCCTAAATTCATTTGACACGAAAATGTTTTTTCACTGGAGAAAAAAAAATGACGCAATTTGTGTGCGACAGTACTCCAAGTCCGCACGAATTGGTTCCCTTCTAGGTCAAGTGTACGTTAAAAAATTCCAAATGGAATTCGATGAAATTGATAAAAAGTATATATTGGTACTGACTGTAAAAATACAATACAATTGAAACAAAATATCGAAAAAAAATATCAAAAAACCTACAATTTGATCACAAAATTCACATCAATTTATCGAACTGTTGTTTCATGTTAAAAATACAAAACTATACTGCGAGGGTAGTTCGCTTGATGAATACATAAAGCCAACACAATACAAAAGCTAATGCGTGTAGAGAAGTGGGAGCGTTGCGTGGAAAACGAATATAATTCATAATGGCACTGAAAATATTGCGGATAAACTACGACTTCATACATGCACGCATATTTTAGGCAACGGAACTGTTTCATGAAATATTGACGTCTTTAATCAATCGCTCAAAGTACAGACATACAACAGTTTAATCTTAGAATTTAATAACATTTCACAGTAAACCTACAATCGAAAAGTATTTATTGTTCATGTTAACTTCAGACACAATCGATTGCTCAACATCATGACGCCGGCAAGTCTCATCCTGGTCAATGAATGACATCATCCAACGTACATCCATCCATTGATGAGAAGCAGGGGAGCATATCCATTGTTGACTTGATTTCTGATATCAACCATACAGAAACATGGAAAAAACACATTATGGTTTGGACTTATTGCAAATAAAATGATAATGAATCGAAACGAAATTATTTTCTTCTCTTGTTTTTGATCACTTTTAGTTTTTCAATAACCACACGAGCAGTGTTTGTTTTTTAGATAGTATCTATTTTTAGATAATTAGATTAGATAAGATAGATAATTAGAAAAGTTATCTAATTATCTTATCTATATAACTTCTAATTTTGATCATCTAATCTGACATGTATCTGAATTAAAAATTATTTAGCGAATATCTACCTCATAGATAGATAGATACAGAGAAAAACCTCCCAAGGATAAATTGACACATTTAATAATGGGTGAAACGAAAAACGTCCTAAAAACCCAAAAATCGTCCTATAAATTATGAAAATCATCCTAAATATCACAAAAATCGTCCTGACAAAATACAAAAATAGTCCCGAAAAACTACAAAAATCGACCTAAAAGACCCTAATTTCGTCCAGTACAAAAAACATCTTAAAAAACCTAAAAATGTCCTCAAAAACCCAAAAAACATCCTAAAAAAGATTGTGTTTGTTACAGTATATTTTACTGAGTTGTCCCATTGCCATTGAAATATATAATTAAACATACAGTTACTCACAAAATTGTTCAATGTGTCCAAAACGCATATTTTCTATATCGCATGAGGCAGATATGGCGATATTATCGTGTGATACTTGCTTACGTGCGTCTCATATTCATCATATTTCGTCAAAAAAGAAACATTCGGCTACGTCTATTCGTAATGCTCAATTTTATGTTACAAAATATCGCTGATAACATTTGATGCTGTCGTTATTACAATCCAAGGAATTCCCGTTCATTTCGTCTATTCCACAGTTCTCTGTTGAGTCACGCTTTAATCATCAAAATAAGAAACATTTTCGTTAGTTTTATCAGAAAATGATTTCATTTTTGTTATCAACAACAAACAATTTCGAAAAAAACAACGAAAATCATTTCCAATGAATTTTTTAAATTTTTTACCAATCGAAATGATTTTCGTTGTTTTCTTCGAAATTGTTTGTTGTTGATAACTAAAATGAAATCATTTTATGATAAAACTAACGAAATGTTTCTTATTTTGATGCTGTAGAATTGAAGAAGGAAATGATTAAAGCGTGACTCAATAGAGTAAGCAAGTATCAAACGATAATATTGCCATATCTGCCCCATGCGATATAGAAAATATGCGTTTTGGACACATTGAACAATTTTGTGAGTAACTGTATGTTTAATTATATATTTCAATGGCAATGGGACAACTCAGTAAAATATACTGTAACAAACACAATCTGTTTTTTATGATGTTTTTTGTATTATTTTTCGGACGAAATTAGGGTCTTTTAGGTCGATTTTGTTATTTTGTCAGGACGATTTTTGTGATATTTAGGATGATTTTCGTTATTTATAGGACGATTTTGGGTTTTTTAGGACGTTGATAATTTTACTTCATTTTTGTTTATTCATTTTCGTCGTGAAATAGACTTTTATTATATTTCAAGAGTAGTGCATATTCAAAAATCGTCGATAATATTCGGTTTCGTCTTGGCGTGGAAATTAAAGACGATTGACTAAAAACCCTTTCGACGACTGCAGATGATGCCAACGTCGTATTGAATTTCACGTGAACTTTGCGAACATGTGGATAGTTGTCCAACATTTGAGCTTCGATACAATCGTCATTCAGGAATCGATCAACAAGTGCAGCAGCAGACCTGAACATCAATACAATTACATACAATTTCCAAAAACCAAAACCAAAAATGATGCCGAATATTTAAGATCATCATTCATCAGTTTAAGGCCCTTTGGAACTCACTTGTCAAATTGACAATGTCAATCAAATTTTGCTGCTTCATTTGAAATTTAAATATTTGCGTTCGGGACGATAATCATTAACTTATAATAAATAAATTATCTAAAAATAAACACAGATAGATAATAGATATCTATACATATTATTATTTAGATTCGTTTATTAGATTTTTATATATATATAATTATATATCTATATAATTTTCACTTTTTCGCTCTATATCTGGTATCTGACCTAGATAACTTTGGATTATCTAAAAAAAACACTGTGTGAAACGAGATGAGATGACCATTTTTTATATGTTCGAGAAAAGAAGACTTACGTTGGATGTAAGTTTATATTTGTTTAAGAATTTAGAATGAAATGTATGTGTGTGCCTACATTCTAATTGTAAAATGAACAAATATCGTTGTAAAAATTCCCAGCAACGGCGTAAAATATTATAGATTTTTCATCGCAAAATAATGGGTTCTCCAACGACTGAGGTGTGACTCATTTGGTTAAAGTTTCACAGGACATATTTTATGAAGAAAAAATGGGTCTGAAACATTGACTCGACTAGGTCATAAAACAATATATTTTCTTAGGACGATGCATGTGCAAATGGACTGACAATGTGAAATGTGTAACTTCGAATACCGATTCTGCGGAAAAATGTACAAACAAATCTAAAACCGATAAAAAAAATCATACAATAACATCGAAAAGGCATTGACTCTGTTACTTCTCATCAACTGGATAAAAATGTTACAGACACAAAGAAAACTGCGCATTCATTGAACAAATGGACGGACCGAACATTTTACAAGAGCAAGGTTTTCGGTTTTGTTTCGCGTGGGAATTGCCGTTTATTGTTATCTGTACGCCTGTTGCGTTTACACTCAGTTGGAAGATTTGTTTTAATTTCGTTGTTTATTTTTGGCCGAAAAATACCTATTGTGTTCTGTGTCATTCATCTTACCTTCAAATAAAAACACATTTACTTCAGGTAATTCATCAAGTTTGAAGCAGACCATCAAACGTGTTCGCATCGAAATATCATTTTTCTCCATATACATAACGAGTTGTAAGTGTTCAAATTAGTTGTATTTTTCAAGACTGCAGGGCTTTTGCGTTTGTTCATTTTATTCGAAGACAATAATGAATTACAAAAGCGTGATCGTATTTGGCGAACAAATATATTTATTTTAATGTACAAAATTGATCTTTTCAGAGAATATAACTTGCACTATAAACGAAATCAAGCGTGAAAATTAGAAGAAAAAAGGATTTTAAACTCTTTATAACATTTTATGCAAGAGCAGTTTTTTGACTTTATTTCGGAGCAAACCATCCATGAAGGCACTTAGGTGTCGGTCCGGGCGTTTTGAACTCACATCGCCCAAGCTCTTTCATAGTTTTCGCACACAACACCAATATGCCAACTCTGTTTACGTCGCCATTCCCCCAGATGATAGCAGCCAAAATGACGCCGTCGTCTTCGTTCTAACGGTTTGAACAAATTAAACCAAAACACAATGAGAATGGTATTAAATGAAACTAAAGTGTAGTTTAAAGGTTTGAAAGAGTAGACAGCGCCTAAAAAATTAATTATAAACGCTGTCAATATACACAAATTATAGTGATTTTTATTGAACTACCTTGGCGTTTGGTGTTGGTACAAAAATCGGTTCACTTGGATATAAGTTCTTTTCATTCCATGTGAGCATCGTTTTATTGTCTGCATCAACTTTGATGAGCTAACAGAAGACGAAATAAAATTCAAATATTTTATTATAGAATTTTCTTCAAGTCCACAAAATGCAATTGCTGAAGAACAGACAAATTCTTACAGTTCCAGGAATATTAGCGTCTACATCTGAGCTGATGGCGTAGAAAAAGCGATAGTTTTTCCCAGCTGATTTTACGTCATTTATGCGAGGTGTTTCACATCCCAAATTGCCCAATTTTTCCGGCACACAATAGATAGATGAGTCTTCCAAATGATAAGCTCTGCATGAACTTTTCTTCATTTCCACCAAATTCTCAGCGTTATAATTTGTTTCAAAAATCAGCCAAAATTTCGAATCAGTTTTGGGTGAATCGATGATGCAGCCGGTGCTTTGATTCTTTTTCAAATAATGTTCAATACTCGATGAGGAGAATTTAGATGCGATTTTCTTCAAACTATTCCAAAGTGAAGGCGTCGGTGGTTCGCGTTGATGCTGTTTGCCAACAGGCAACACAAAACGCAATGGTCGACTTCGGAACATTTTTGAATAATCTTTAATACTGTGCATATTTTCCATTGCTTCCACGTACATGCAGTCCAAAACCGACGGATCTCGATAACAACAGATATCGACGAGGATGTAGTCGCCACGTTCATGTGCATTGATGGTATGCAAATAAAAGAATGGCGCTGCCTTGAAAGTGAATTTACGCTGGCCGGTGCGACGACAAATCACATGGAAAAAAGTGCATTCATTTTGGAACCATTTGAATATCGAAGCCAAAGGTCGCCTCAAATATTTTGCCTTCAATGACTCAACCATCGATATACTCAACGGTTGCTCAATGATAATGAAATAATTCTCAGTTGTTGCAAATGAGTGCATGTACGACGGATTCATTTGCCAACGAGCTGGTATTTCAGCGACAATTGATGCATTCTCAAACATTTGCGTTCCATACGGAAATTTAATAATATTGTATAGCGATCGACCATTTTTTACTGACAATCCCAAATTGAATGCCTATTGTTGGAGTGAAATGCAATGTCACTTGAATTATAACATTTAATTTAAATGATCTTTCGACTTACAGTGCCATCGCTCGTGATGTGTGGATGCGACGTATGATTAACGACTCCGATATACTGTTTCACATCACGGCTTCCAACCGTATCGAGGGAATTAATGTCGATTCTGGAGAGATTTTTTATTGAAATTGGAAGAATTTGAGAAAAAAAAACATTAAAAACCGGATGAAATCATTTCTTTTTTTAATTTTAACGGCTTGAACAAAAGATAAACGAAAAATGTATAACAAAGAAATGGAAAAAGGCCAAAAATAGTGGATAAATAATCTTCTTAACAAAAGTCCAATCTCACCGATGAATTATAGGGCACTCGGTGAAACAATAAAACTCATCACCAAATGGATAAATCGAAATGTTGCTATTATCATTTATCGGATCTTCTGTGAAGACGCTTGATATCCGTTGAAAAATGGTTTGGCATGGATCCGGAACGGTTTTCGTCCCAAAGCTTGTAACCACAATTCGATTAGCCGCCAAGTTTTTCTTGTACGAATCGGTTTTAATGAAACGACACTGATAAGTTACTTTTCCATCGCTGATATCGAACCTAAAAACAAAACACGCATTAGAATTATTTACACCAGTCATGGGAAACCATAGAAATATCACTAATTTCGATGTGCACGTAAATTTACTTGGAATATAAATAGATTATCGATAGACTAGACAAACACATTTGGCTAATTTGTGCTAATTGAAAAAACAAAACTTTTGCATATTTAGAAAAAAAGTCTGCAATTTCAAGGGCATCTTCATGAAGAAGTGCACTTTTAGTTAGATCGAATGCGTACTTACTTGTGAAGTAATGCTGCGCTATCAAACAAATGGTGATACTGCATATTACCGATGTTCAAACCACCTGGTCCATTTCTTAGCAGACTGCCCTTGAGCCATTTTGGTATTTCACCACGAACTTTTCCGTGAATTGGTTTTAAAATCTCTTTTTCACAAGATCTCAACCAAACGGACACATCACAATTCGGATACAATTTGGTGTTTTTATCTTCGATCACGGCAAAACTTTGATTTGTCAACAATTTCTTTGATTTCAACATTTTGCTTGCCTTTTGACTGATAATATATTTTCTAATTCAGACTAAAATTCAATTCACTTTTTGAAAAATTCCAAAGGAAATTCCATCTATTTCACAACGGCAAAATAAATAATGAAATAACGTTCAAGTTTAAAATAGGAAAAAAAATCGGATAAAATTCAACAGAACTCTTGCTGCCTTGCAACAAATTTAATTATTTGATTCAAGTGCTAGCACAGTACTGTGATTCCGTTCTTCATGGCAGTCGCTCTCTGAGTGATTTATATACAATTGTCCACACACTTTTTTCGGCACAAATTGAAACATGTGATATACAGGCACGAACGTTTGAAGAAACCGTATAATTGTATGTGGTTTTGATGAGATTATCTGTGAATTGGTGTCTCCGAACTCAATTGAGGTGCACAAACGAATGACTGAATAAAACAGATTCGTATTGTGTTTTATGCACAATCGAGCCAATCTACGGATTAATGACGGAATAAGAAAGATGAATCTTGAATTGAAAGCATTTTTTTACGCAAGCGTAAACAAATCTTAATGAGATTTAATTGAAGCCACATCAGCTCGTTTTGAAATGGGCGAGAATTAGCTGGAAGTGAATCTCTCGTATTTGCGTCTACATTCTATATTTTAATTCTAAAAATCATTTATGCCAATTAAATATCTATTTATAATTTTAAATCAAAATATTCGAATCAGCTCTAAAATCGACTTGTGACTAACAATAAATTCTTCAAGCGATTGTAAGATTACTGATTGATTGAGTCACATTGACGACTGTTTGTCTAGTTTGAAATTAGTTTCTTGAATCTCAATTTTTAATCGTAAATTACATATTTTTATGCAATATTTTACATTTCAATACATTTACCCTCATATTTTTACAATAACTCTATCGCAATCCAATGGAAAACGCTGTTCGTTTTCATTCAAAATTTTAAATCAGCGCCAAAAAAACCGCAACTGGCGTGAAGTTCGTGCATTTCACCTGAATTCGACTTGCGCGTAAATAATAACACAATCATTGATTGTTTCACACATTGAATCCACGCCAACACACATTCAAATGCGGTTCTATCCGTGTGTATGTGTTGATAGAATAGAAGGAAAGAGTCTCCTCCAATACACTTGCCAGCGACGGTTAAAACCGTCAACGTACCAATGCACACGAGGAATGTGTACACAATAGATAGCTGTGCACAGAAACACAGTACAACGCAAAAGAGAACGAGAACGAGAACGAGAGAGGGACTAACACAATGAGTTGTGTGTGTGATGGGTTCTCAGTGTACACAGGCACACGCATACCGATACATACACCAACCTATGATTCTCTTGTTTATAGCTCTTTTTGGTAGCCATAGTATTTGGCATTCTACACACGATAGTAGGTCTTTTCTCCTGTGCCAGTGAACTCAACACTCAAGAATACTTTCTTCCATTCATTTCGGTTTATTTTTTTTTCTTCTTCTTTTCACTCATCCGATTTGTGTTTGCTTTGCAATTGTTGGTCAATATTCTTCATTTTGCATCAATGAAAAGGTGAATTGAATCAAAACGAGCGGTAATTTTGTTTGTAGCGAGAGAAAAAAAAAATGAATAGTTGAAGGCATAAATAGTGGTCTTACTGACTACTATTGGTTTGGTGTTCGAATTAGAAAAGTGATTGGTGGAATTCAACTGGAATTTTTAATGAGTGATAAAAGTCAATGTGTGTATGTGTGATGAAAGTGGGATTTCTTACATAAAAATCAAATCTCTGCATAAAAATCCCATTTCGTTCCGTGCTATAAATTTTCGATGCAGATATTTTGATGAAAGAAATAAAGAAAAAAATCGCCATGAATATTCGCTTATTAATTATTTGGTCATTCTCCCTATCGCGTAAATCCGATTCGAGACTGTTGTGAGACAAGTCGCAAGAGGAACAGAAAAGAACATATACACAGTATCAACGAAACGGCGGAAAGAAAATGGTGAGCTACGAGGCTACGCGTATGTAAATAGCGCTCCATAGCCAACATGAGTGTTCGGACGTGTGTTACAACGTTTGTAATGTGAATGGGAATGTGTTTCATAAGAAAAAAACCTGTTTTTTTTTCTTACCTGTTACCGACGGTAAACACACATTCGGGTCATTTACAACAACAAGTCACTTGCTCTCTCTCTCTCGCGACTTTTTATCTTGATAAAAACATTGCGCCCGCTAAAAACAGTTTACATTCTCTGTATGTTTATAAATATATAGAGTGCTTGGCGCAGTGAAATAAACCGTCGTGCTCTCAACTCCATTCGCAGATACCGTGCACTCGGAACGGAGAAAGTTAATTGCGAATTGATTTCATTCGTTCTGTTGAATATTATTGCTGTTTTTTTTTCTTGTTTTGAGTGAAATTTTTATGTGCAATAGCATGTGGACCATTGCAATTTATATCAGTTTGTTTGGAGTTTTCAAGTGATTGCGATGGGAATTTGTGTATATATTTTTGGGTTGGGCTTGAGCCCATTCGGATAATAACAGTTGCGAAAACTTTTTCCTAGCAGAAATATAAATAAATATGGAGAAAATGAAAAGCAAAGAAAACAATAATAATTGAAAAACTAAAAGAGTGCATAAATTTGTCTAAAGAACTTGAATATCGTTGTAGTTAGATTATTTTTCCAAGTTTGAAAATAAAAACAAAAGAGAGAAAAAACGCGTCAAGAACAAAGTGTGTGCAAATAATCTTGTTTATTCAAACGAATTTAGTCTGTTTCGCCATTTGTTTGAGAAGCCAATGTTATATATTGTGCTTGAATTGTTTACTTTCAGAAGAAAAAAAATGACAGGTCTGTGTAGTGTTTAGAGCAAGGTTTAGAGTGAGCATACGTCCCTTGTAATTGGCTAACGACAAGAGCAACAACAGCAGCAAAAATATGCAAAATCCAAACATTTCAAATGCCAGCCACTCGACGAATAGAAGTCAGACTAATTTGCTTGATGCACGGTCTCTATCGCCCAGCGTACACATGATGCACAATTTGCACGACGTTTACCCAGCTGATATGCCTCAGCAGCAATTTTATCATTCCATGCCTCATGTAAGTATATTTTAGTTTGGTTTTGTTGGTATTTGCCAGTTAAACATTGCTCTCATTTAAAGAGAAAGAAGAAATGGTTCTAAGCCGTAATTTTGAAATTCCAGGCACAGAAACCATCTATGTCTAACATCCACACCGGCAATCCACCCCATAATCGCACGATGTCTTCAATAATGAATCGAATTGCTGCACCCAATCTGAATCCACCGATGCAATTGCCGTCTTCCACAGCTACCAGCAACGAATTTACCGAACAATACAATCGGCTGCAGCAGGCGAGAATGGAACAACAAATGAAAACTCACAATGAGGCCATGGCACGAAAGCAACAAACATTTGCAATGCGTCAGGCATTGAATCCACCGCCAATGTCACGCCAAGTGTCGGCCATAAATATTCATCAACAAGTCAATACATCTACACAAACCACCCCAAATACACAACATCCACAATCAATTCAAGGTTCATCCACGATAAATAATCCATTCGGTGTTGATCATTTCCATCAGCATCACAGCACAGGCAGTCCAAAACATTTCAACCATATGGAGAAACCGAATTATTTGCAGTTACAGCAGGAGAATCAAAAATTGATTCAATCGCTTCGCAATGATTATAAGCTGAAATCTCAAGAGCAGCAGCTACAACAGCACGCAAGTCAAAGGAAATCAACAAATCCGTTCATACAGTCGGGTGAAATTGAAAACGATACTCGCGGCGATAGCGGTGCTCAAAGTCCAGTTCACCAGATACTTGTCTATAACAAAGAGCCTAGTTCATCGTCAGCCACATCAACGCCGACGAAATTATTAAAATCGCCGAAAACTAAACGCCAACCAACATCGTTGGTCACGTTCTCGGGCTGGCTATACAAACAAGGCTCCGAAGGATTAAGAACCTGGCGACGTCGATGGTTTGTCTTATCGGATTATTGCTTGTTCTATTATAAAGGACCTGAAGAGGAGAAATTATTGGGTTCGATTTTGCTGCCGTCATATGTTTTGTCTGAATGTATACCGTCGGACAGTAAGACCTACAGAAAATACTCATTCAAATTGGAGCATAAAAATATGCGAACATATTATTTGGCTAGTGAGAATGGAGATTATATGAGGAAATGGATGCGAGTCATACGGGCGGCAACGCTCATGCAAAATTTCAATGAAATCCAAACTAGGCAAATGCTTGCCACATCCGTACCAATCAGTACAAACAGCTATGAACCGAACATGGGCTACAATCGGTACGATCAGTATCGAAGTGAGCAAAATCAACGCAGCAAAGTTGACATTCATCCATCGCTTAATCCATTCTTGATTTTTGATGAAGGTAAATGTGACGAATGACTTTCAATATTAGAGTCACAATTCTAACAATTGAATTATTCTTTTGTTTTCAGATAATGAAAGGCAACCGTTATACGTAAATGCGCCACCAAAACCGCGTCGCACTCATAACGAAATGGAATTGTCAATGTTCGGAAATGATCCGGCAGTGTTCCCGATGAGGTGAATTTTTTAAATTTGGTCGTTAGACACTGCGTATTGGACAGACAATATTTGCTGAACATAATTTTTTGATTGAATATTCAAATAAAACTAATCATTCAATCACTTCGCATTTCAGTTCGGAAGCATCGACCGATACAACGCCAAAAGGCTTGCCACTTCGAATGCTGGAATATGAGGACATTTACAATGAACAAGGACGGCACAGCAGAAATAACACCATTAACTTCACAGAAAACCCCGATCATCATTTGACAAACATTCAAAGCTACGAGGTGGAAAATGTATCGGCTGCTTACAATAACGAATATGGTCCGCCAAGAGGCAAGAAAACGTATCAACCGAAAAAGCAACCACCGCGGCCACGTTCGGCCGATTTCTTGGAGTATGAATCGAAACGGCACTTCCGTCGCTTCAAGGATTTCGAAAATTCTGGTCATTTTGCTGAACGAATGCCGTCACGCCCGAAGTCTAGTCTTGATATTAACAGCGCAATGGATAATTACTATTATTCCGAAGCTAGCTATGCCGCCAAGATGCGACAGAGTGCACAATACTTACAAAATCGTAATATGATGTCGACTAGGCGGGAAGACACTCGATTGAATACACTGCGTTATGAAAATGAGCGAAAGAGGCTAACACATGAATTTAATAACTACACCGCTAATTTGATATTGAACAACGGATTAACATTGCCCAGATCGAAGTATATGTCGAACAATGATCCATTTCAATTTTCATCGCTGATGCAAAGCAGCGAACCAACTGATTCTGCTTCTTTCAGCACGGATAGCCGATATTTGATGAAGAACTCGGGTAAAATCAATAGACAATCAATTATTAAATCCATTAGAGTTAATCAGCTAATGGCTTCATTCAATTTTACAGAAAGCAATTTAATGGAACAATACAGATCGAATGATATGATAAGCGGCAAAACGAGCTCGATGTCTATTCGCGACGACCTACAAAGCAGCAATGCTAACATTTGGGTGCGTTCAATTTAAATTGAGTTTGATAGTAATTTTCTTAAAAATTAAAATGTCATTACTTAATTGTAATTTTTCTTTAAGCAGCAACCTGATATATCGGCTGGAACATTGCTTAGCAAGACACATGAAGAACTTGTACTTTTGTTGATCCAACTTCGACGCCAAGCCGATATCAAGGAAAGAGGAATTGATCGACGGTCAAAAGATATGCAAGCGATTCAGGTATACTAGTTAATTTTTCTATTTTTCTTTCGACCATTTTCATTTTTGACTGGATAAACATTTTCTAATCGAAATTAATTTACCCCTGTTTAGCGCCGCTTGAAAAGCGAGGAAGCAACTGGCATGAGATTAGAGCTTATGGGTCGTTTAGAAGTTTTGCGTGAGGAAGTGAATAAAATGGAACAGCAATTCGAAAAGACGAAGCCATTGGTGAATTTGGTGGATAACATGGTTAAGCTTGGCTCATTGTATCGAGCTGGCAGCATCCAATGGGATACCAGTTCAATGCGATCGGGAATGACTTTACAACGATTGCGGGTCAATCAGAAAGAACTGGAGCGTCGACTGCAATTGGATGATCAAAAACAATGGAACAAAATCGATCCAACTCAAATTGAACTGCAAGTGAGTAGATTGTCATTTTTTGACGTAGATATAATACCATTTTATTGTATAATGCATAGAATAATGACAAAACTAAAATAATCTTCTCATCCAAAAACAGAACAAAGTTCAGCAACTATATGAACTGGATCAACTGTTGCACGAGGAATCGAACAATTTGCAAATGCTGCAGCAAGACAAAGATGAAATTGAGGGTGCTCTTGATGAACTCAATCATAGATTCGCCACAAACGATATGTTACCAGAAAACTACATGACTTCAAAGAAGATACAGCATTCATTAGAATTGGAATTGTCCAAAGTCCACAGTCAGCTTGCCGAACACTCACGAGTATGGATTTTTTCTAAAAAAAATAATCAATTTTCCAAGATTTCCGGAAAATATTCACTTATTCTCTTACTCCAAAACAGCGCCTGGAGGAGACTGTAGCGGCCAATACAAAACTCGAACGGGAATTATTGATGTTGCGTCAAAAGTTGCAGGCGTCTCGTGAAAAGAGTTCGGGCCAATTGAGTTACATGAGTGTGATGGGTAATTCGCGAACGGCGGACGCATTTGAATCGGAGCTGCGAAAAGTACGAGATTCGGTGGGCGACACCAAGCGACAGCGTGAGGAATTGAGCATGGCTGTTAGTCAACTGACATTGGACTCGAATGCAACGCATGATCGATTACGTACATCGAGCAAAGACCATTCATACAAATTGAATACGAATAAGCGCTGCGATTCCGATTGGACTGAAACCGATTTGGATTCAACGCACAGGAAAAATGCGAAGAATCTCAACGGGGGCCTATCCAGTTCATCGTCATATGAGCAAACATATCGAAATGAAAACGAACCATATTACTACCAATATCAACAGCAACAAAATGCAGACGATTTGAATACTGACGACCACTGGCAGGGCAATGGTATATTTGAAACAAATGTCAAGTTTTCTTCTTATTTTTCTTGAATTCAATTACAAATTTCTCGATTTTTTTTCCAGACAAACAAGAAATAAAAACGGTTCGCATTGTGAAACGCGAATCGGAACGACGACACCGTGACAAGGATAAACTCAATCAAAATTATGACACAAAAGATTTCCACAATCCGGATGAACTGAACGATTTTCTGTCAACATATCAATCTGAACCAAGAACAACAAATCATTTCTATGAAGACGAACCGTCCGCTGCGAAAGCAAAGTCGACAATAAGGAATGCAGCGCATTCCATGGCTAACACCAATTCCACAGTGCGTAATGACAATATTTTCCATAGCAATACAGCCCGTGAAATTTTCAATGAACATGACGGCAATACGAAAACCACTGCTAAGGAACATCAAACACCAACGAAAACACCAGCAGCCTCATCCGGTACCGCCTCAAATAATCAAAGTAGTCAGTACAAACGATTTACACCACGCAAAAAGAAACGCCATAACACTGCACCGACCAGCGAAAACTTTATGGACTATATGGCCGAACGCGATTCGTATAAATATGTAAGTTTAAAAAAAAATCACTTTTTTTCAAGCAAAAATTTTCTTTTTTTACGTAAACCGCATCAACCGTTCATTGTTCAACGGGAAATTTATGAATTTCTTTCTGTTTTCTTTCCTAGAATAATCACCGAGCTCGAGACGATCTAGACATGGAAGTTGTGCTACGATCAAATCCACCGGTGGAAAATGCCATATCTGGGCCGCCAGACGTCATTCGTTCGGCGCTTGGTCAAAAAAATGAATATCTCTTTGATAAAATGAATTAGATAAATTCGCCGATGACTTTACTAACACACTAATCACCGCTTTACATATCCATTTAATGTCAAATTAATACCTAAAGTGAACCTAAACATAAAAAATAACACACACACACATACACATCCCTACGCGTGGATTGAATTACGTAAATGTATGAACAACAATTATGTAGTCAATATGGAACCACACACTATTATGCATATTATGCAAACGAAACAAGGTAGTTCAAATCAATTATATCCCATTTTATTGGTTAGTAGTATTTAGGCATTATACCATTCGGCATAGCAAAATAAATTTAACTTACATTTTAGCCTAAAAATGATTGTTCATGGCTTAACAAAGGCATTGGCACATACACATCCATATATGCATTAAAATCATTTATTTTTATCGACTACTATTATTGATATCATTATGACAGAAAACAAATCATTGATCGCTTATATTTTCGAACATCCAGTGACTGAAGAAATTGTTTAATTTATTTAGAGTTTTTATCAAGTACAGAGCATTTATGTGTAAATACTGGTGCAAACCCCATTTGTGAGTTATGTGCGAGCATTATACAGCTCGACTCATGAAAGGATCGTTATTCGATCAAATATATCATTTCATTGTATGTTTCATTGACTGTATTGAAAGGTTGAAGGAAATATCAACGGCATCCACTCTCTCTTGCACACACATTGAGTGGCAATTGCATTGTTTGTTTCAATATACAAATATTAAATATACATATTACATACATATTAAGCAAAGCCACTACGAACATGAATTCAAAACATCTCCTATTAGCTACATATTTTAACAGTGGCATATCAGCATAACATAAAATAAAGCCATAACATATAAGCATCAATAAGTGTGAATCGCACAGACAAACACATACACACTCATTCACAAAATTCACAAATGATACAAACAAAAAACATGATACTACTGTGTTTAATTTTTTGGTATAAAGACTTTCCACGATTTTGAACGTGGTCCCATACTAACTCGTAAAATTTATTGCATTTATGTTTTATGAAAGCATTTCATATATCTATATACAAAACGCACGGCTTGAAGCAATATTGAGTTTGAATAAAAAACAGAAGACATTTTGCGAAAGATAACACAAGTGTTTTGATCTCTTTTTTTGTTGTTTTTTTCTTTATTTATGTCATTCAAATACAATATACACAATTTTGGAAATATCAACAAAGTAGTTTTTCATTAGATTTATTGGGTTCAGACTGCATACCGGCTTTTATTTAATTATTATGTATCATGAATGAAGTGTGCCGTGTCTATCTCTTGGTATAGACTCGAAGAAAAAAAAAACAATATCTCTGAGATTCTAACTCCTTAAAACATTAATCTCAATCTTGATTTGATACGAATCTAGCACTGCAAATTTATATAAACAGAAAAAAAACGATGGTCTACCAATGAGAGAAAGATTTATTGTTTTTCATTTTGTTAAATTGGATTATTATAACGAATGTGCTAGCAAATTCGAAAATTATCTTCTATCTTCTTTGGATGTTGGTGATGAATCATTGGCAGCATTGCTTAGTTCTAAGGTGTTTAAGGCTTGAGCCACTGCCCGTTTGTATCGATTTACCAGTTCGGGTAAGTCGTAAGCAATCGAAACGTCAAGTTTGTTGATTGGACAACCGCGGAAGTATGTGCACGTTTCGGACAATTTCTTGAATTCATACAATGGATTCAATTTGAAGAAGTCACGGTACACTTCTGGATCGGGCAAATCGTAGCGCGAAATGTTGGTAAGCGTTGATAGACCTTCGTAAATGTGATAGGTTTGTGGATGTTCGATAATTTCACCAGAGATCTTCTTCTTGTTTCCGAACAATGTCTTGTGATTGTAGTAAGTGGTTAGATAGCAATCCACCATTTTAGCATGATTACGAACGCGAACCTGTGAATGAAGAGTGCGAGTTTTTTTTTTCAGATAAAACATTGGTGATTTAGAGTAAATTATTTTGAAAATGTGAGACTCACAGCGAAACGACGGGCGCTGGCAATCTTATTTTCAATACGATGTTCAATGGCTTGAGCCAAATCTTGGAGCAAAGCCTTCTCTTGGGCTTGCAAGAGACGAACTGGAGTATTTTCCTCGAATGGATGCGACCACAATGACACGGTATACATGACTGGTGGCTGTTGCGACGACATCAATGGTGAGATATTCCAAATCAAAGCACCTTGCACACGCAACAATTCTTCTGGATGCACTTGATCGGCCTTATTTAAAAGAATACGAGTTTGATATTCACGTCCTTTCAATTGGTCAAGGATGGCTTCAGTTTCGGGTCCAACGTCCAATTTTGATGGATCATATGTGAGGAAGATGATGTCAGCACGGTCAATGAACCATTGACATGCATCGTTGAATGGGAAGATGCGAGACACGTGTTTCCGGACTTCCAAAATGCCCGGAATTTCTACAATGTTAACCTTCACAAATTGAATTTGATTATTACCGTGATGAAATTACGTTACTTTTTTTGTTCAAATCTTCAAAATTTACCTTCTTCAAGAGATTGCTTGGCAACTTCAAACCACGCAAGCGATCGGTCAAACCTTGACCAAACTTTTGCAGTCCGGAGAATGTCCAATCAGCTGACAATTGTGTTCCGTCCAATACTTCTTCAGTTTCACCGTATGTGAGGATGTTGAAGTAAGGTAATGATGGTTCGGCTCCTGAAGAAATTCGATAGAATTAAAACAGAGGAATAATAAACGCGTTGCAATTATTCTTGACAAACCAGTTTTGAGTGAGAAATCGGTGTACTCGTTGTCGGTCAAGTAATTGATGATAGTTGATTTGCCACCGCTCCATGGACCCATGAGCAATACCAATGGTTTTGAAAAGATTTCCGGGTCACCAAAGTGACGGTTTGACAAATCACGGTATTTGTAAAGCACTTCCAATGGCTTGATGGCATTTTCGTAAATCTTCTTCAAATCCTTCAATGTATTTTCAGCGACTTTTTCAAGAGCTTCATTTTCGGCGAAATCTTCCTCATTCAAGTTGAGAATTTCATCGATATGGCTGCGGTCGCGAAGGTCTTCTGGAATTTCGGATTCCTATTTCGGAAATTGAAAAATTCATTACGTGAGAATTGTTTTTTGTTGTTGTTGTTGTGTTAAAGTCAAGGCTTTTGATACATACCAACAATAAATCATCAACGGGATAAGACTTAGGGCTGATTTCAGTTTCACTAGCTGAACGCTTTTTGATTGGAGCCTCGCTACTTTTTTCGTCGTCGTCGTCATCGTCGTCATCGTCGGCGGTAGCATCATCATCATCATCAGCTTTCTCTTTGCTATCTCCTTCTTCATCATTTAATAAGATAAGAGATGATTTAATTAACACTCGTCGAGTACTTTGGTGAAATATTGCTAAGTCCTAGTGTTATTTTGACACTGCATATATAAAGCGGTCACTAGCCATATGTATAATTAGGTATGAATCGCATATATATGAAACGTACACAACATTAGAATACTGTACTTTTGTTCCCTACTTCGTTTGTGTAATTTTACGGGAAAAAATAGAACTTACAGCTAACAAATGTTAGCATGTAATTTGATCGTAAACAGTTGGATCAGTAATATTTTACTGAAAATAAATTCATAATAGATTCTCAGTATCCATCAAAAAATTTGAAAATTACGAAATCAACTCATTTGCTTTATTAAAAAGACCAAGCTACACAACCCCTGCACCACACTAACAAAACAAAGTAAAACACGAATTTGCGATGAGCGCATTCGGTGAAGTTCATTTCAATTCTTTTCGTCGTTAGACGCACTCATGAACGCGACGAATCGAACGCATCAACAATGTTCCGTAATGAAAGAAACATTTTTTAATCATAAAATTGATGTTTATCACGTGCTACGCTCTCACAAAAATCAATTTTGCACTTTCGTGACATTTTTATTTTTTTTGTCAACTTTATTAACAAATATAAAAAAGATTCAATAATACATTGAACGATCTGTGTCACAACTTTTGACACTTGTCTCGTAGCGCTAGAAGTGAGCTGTCAGATGCTTAGATGCAGGACCTTCGCCAAGCTAACGGCGTTAAAAATGAGCCCAGGAAATAGCAATATTATTATTAATGAATCCCAGCGATTGATAACACGATGATTCTACGTGTTGCCACTACTACTGCAACACTCGTGCTATTGTGTAGTTTAGCTGTATATATTTCCAGATAAACGAATAGCGTTGCAAACGTATGTACTTAAAAGTATTTGCTCATCAAACTCAACGTACCGTCATCGGCTTCCTTAGCATCGGTCTCACTGCTTTGGTTGTCGTCGTCGTCATCATCAGCGTCAGCATCGGCAGCATCGTTTTCTTTACTATCGCCGTCCGTATCTGTCTGCTCTTTTGAATCATCTTGGTCATCGTCTTGAGCTTCATCATTTTCCTTGGAGTCATTTTATCAAAACAGAATTGTGTTGATTAGGGCAAATTTTGGAAAATCATTTAAAGGAATGAAAATAGAATTATTTTCAAGTTTTGCGATATTTCGACTATTTTGGCTGCATAAACAGTCAAATTTAACACTTAATTTGAAAATAAATTGTTTTAAAAACTTCAATGCCACTAGATCATCTCCACATAAACAAACGCTTAAAAAAACTACAATAAAATAATCTAAAGCCAAAACCACATGCACACAAATTATCTCTATATAGTTCTGCTATAGCAGAACGCATAGAACTTCATTTGCTATGCGTTCGCATAGACACTTTGCATACTGTATGTCTTACTTATACCAAATGAAACGCTATGTGTATATCCGTAGTGAATGTGTGCAAATGTATCCTTTTGTGTGTGTGTGTGTGTGCATGAAGTAAAAAATAATCAAACCATCTCAAAGCTTGAACATAATTCAAGGTTTATAATTGCAGTTTGATGCCTGTATTGATTTACCTTATCATCGTCATCATCGTCGTCGTTGTCAACGTTCTCTTTGGATTGATCATCATCTTCGGCGGCTCCTGTTTTAGCTTCTTCAGTCTGCTCTTTTGAATCATCTTGGTCATCATCTTGAGCTTCATCATTTTCCTTGGAGTCATCCTGTCAAAACAGAATTTTGTTGATTAGAACATTTTTTTGTCGAAAAAATCAAAGTAAATAGACTTTGATTTGTTTGCTACTTTCTTTATTAACCCAATAGTGCATTAAACCACCTTTAGATGGGCTACAACTAAACGGCTGCATAACGTAAATGGTACGTCGTATCACATTGCTTCAAAAGGCTTCTTTATTCAATTACCTTATCATCATCATTGTCATCATCATCGTCGTCATCGGTGTCTTTTGCATCATTATCACTTTCATTCACGGTATCATTGTCTTCTTTCGAGTCGTTATCATCATCATCATCCTCCTCCTCCTTCATTTCAACTGCACCGTCGTCCGTTTCCGCTGAGTTATCTTCATCGCCAGCTTCGGTTTCGTTCGTTGATTCTTCATGCACAACAAAAAATGAAAAAAAAACAACACATACACACAGAGAAGGCGCACATTAATAATATTCTATTTTCGATTCAAATTCTGCGAAAATCACGAAATATTTTTTTTCTTCTCAACACTACAGTTATATCCGCATTACGAACTCAACACGAATTATACAAATGAGAAAATAAAATAAATAAACCGAAATTGTTCACTTTTGCGAAAAATTTCTTGATTATTTTTCTTTAAATTTCTTTATTTTCTTCGAGATATAGTTTGATCAGAGATCAGATGCTCAAACTAATTTCGCCTTTCATGTTCCGTGTCGAAGTCAATTTGAAGGTATTTCAATTTGAATCTGAAAAGTATTTGTCAAACGAAAAACCGAAGTAAGCTAAATCCACCCTGCTACCTTCTTGTGAATCGTTGTCGTCGTCATCGTCGTTATTATCGTTTACATCACTGTTAGGCTCTTCACTATTGTCGTCGTCTTCCGTGACTACCGCATCGGCTGCATCCTCCTCTTCCCTACTGTCATCCACATCAACGACTATTCCAGCACTGTCTGGTTCTAAGCAATTAATAAAATCACAATGAATACATGCGTCAAATAGAACATTCGTTGCTGTTTATACCTTTGTTGTCTCCTTTTATTGTGTTTAGGGCTTTGGCGATGTGTGGTTGGCATTCAGCTTCTGTCGGTGTATCGGCGTTCACTTGAAGAGCTGCAACATCAGAAATTACGTTAGCTTTTCAAACGAGACTTTTGTTTCGATTGCCAAACAAAATGGGATCATAATGATCATGCAATAATTATGGGGACATTATGAAAAGATCAAGCGCCTTTCTATCGTTAATTCTCACGCAAAACGTGATTCGCTATTTTGGTCTCTCTTCATAATAAGATCCAACCGGATCGGCTTTGAAATTGGCATGCATCGAAACAGACGTAGAGCGAAAGAGCATAAAAATGCATTCGCTATGTTTTCTGTTCATTGGCGGTGGCAGTGCGGCGGGGCGATGACAAATTCATTGCCGCCTGTAATTCGAAATCTAAAAACGCACTTTGTGCAGCGAACACAGGACCCGCGACAAAATGGATATTGTTCGAAAGAAAAAAATTGTGTTATTTCTATCGTAACAAAATTGGCAATTGAACTTTGAATCAGTCTCAACAAATTGAACAAAAAGAAACTGTGTATAAGCTATAGATAATCCAAGGACTGCGTGGAATGTTCAGCGAAATGTTGTAACGAACGAAAATTTCATTGTCATTTCCACACTAAAAATAAATAATGCTATCAACACAATTCCATGGCACGCGTTCGAAACACGCTCGCTTAACCAATTTCGTTCACAACCACTCGCAATTGCATAAAGTCATTTCGATTCTCAATTGTACATCATTTTTGCTCGACATTCTTCTTTTTGTATAAAATATCGTAATAATATTTCTTTTTCTTATATAACAAAAAGCTATATTTGCCCGCAAGCAAATGCGAGTACTGAAATGAGTCGGTTGCAGAAAAAAAAAAACAGAGAAGATGTGAGAAACAACGCACGTAGAACGCGATGCGAACGAAAGAAATGAGCACCACCAAACCGAAATGAAATAGAATAAAACGAGAAAAAAGGAGAATAAAATAAGCGAAAATATTGTGTATTGATACACAACATGAAGAGAAGAATATATAAAATTCTAAAAATAATTTGGCGTTTATTCAAAAATAGCACTTTTTCACTTGAATACACAGGATTTTGGGCACTGCGAGAGAGGGACAGTGAAATCGAAACAGTGAAAAATTCGGTATATAGTTTTTTTTCTGTTCATCTTCACACAAATCGCCAATGGGCGAATATGAGTAATAAATCGCGAAGAAAATTTTCTTTCGGCACACAAATGGACTACTAGGCTATTAAGGTCGCGCGGCACTAGAGCAATCAGCGAATGACGATGAAAAAAAAAAGTTCGGGACCAATTCTTATTTACTTACTGGAAATAGTGAGAGTACATAGCAGAGCTATGCAAAGCAATCTCCAGATTGACACATTGGCCATGATTGATCGATTTCGAATTTGGTTCCGTTGATTAGTAAAATCCTTTTTTCAATTTTTTTTTGTATGTGTATTTTTGATATTTCACAATTTACTTGCACATTACAAATGATTTTCTTTTTTTGCTTATTCTATTTTATTTTTTTCACTGTAAAAGTCGCAAATGAAAAAAATAACTGAAAATTGTTCCACTGTAACTATAACTGTTCCTATTAACTAAAAGCACGAAAAAAACGAACGAAATTTATTCCTTTTTGATTGGTGTTAGTAATTTTCACGCACTGCGCGATTTTTCTTCCCGTTTGAGTGCGAATAGATTCAACTAGCCCGGTTCTAGAAGAACGTCTGTATGACGAAGAAAATGAAAATTTGAAACGAACAAAAGATCAACGCGAAAATATTGCAGACGATCTTGTATATTGGTCACGATCAACCCGATCGCGCACAACGTACTGAATCATAAATCCGACGAAAAAAATATTTTTAATTTGAAGTCGGAACCTGTGAGAGAGAAAGCACCGTAAAAATATTCTTTCCCGAATGCTCAAAGTGTCAGTGTTTGCCGTTTTGGCTGCGGTGGCCGAACAAAAACATTATAGCCATGACATAAGATTCGAAATGTGATTACCAAGACACCGAATTTCTACTTGTTTTTCTCTTACTGTGCCTTCACTTTAGTATGTGCGGTACAGAAGTAGTGTAAACATAGGACGCTCGATCAAACCGAACAGAATGTGTATGCGAACACATAGAACAAATAACGAGACAGCAAAAACCTGCGCTGTACGTGAAAAAAACCGATGTGTCAATGTGAACGGAGATTTTCTTTTTGGACACTCACATGTTTTTAATGCCCATTTCAAATTATTTGGCCGAACATCTGTCTGTGCGATCCGCTGCTTTTGCTGTTGACGCGAGGCGAGTAACGATCCGCCTGAGTTTGTGCCGTTTTTCCCACTAGTCCACACAACGCAGCAACAACACGGTGTCTAAATTTAAAATTATTAAATTGACAGATTGCCTTTGCGCACACCACCATACGCAAATTGTCGCCTCAGTCATACTGTACCGTGGTTACGCTCATTTCGGTCACACTTCTCGAGCGAAAGCTGATTGAGCTGGGAAACCACAATGGATTTTGTAAAATCTCTTAGCTCGCGGCTTTTGGCGACCGTTCCTTCGTTAATAATAAGTCGAACACCGCTTCTATGTGGGTCCGATAAATGTCATCGTTTTATTTTGATCATTCGCAAAACATCACATTCTTGAAAACGTTTTAGAAACCTGTTTTCTACGTTTGCGCACATTTCATTCATCTTTAAGATGGAAATTCTTCGCAGTTAAGTTGTTCCGGCGCACACTAAACGATTTTGTCGTAGGTCTTTATCCTTCGCCTAATCGGATTTCAACGAAGTCGAGCCCTTGGTATTTTTAATACGTCTGAAATGTTCAAGGAAAAGATTAATTTGAAAATTGATCGTTGTATTATGAAAAAACTCGAAACAAAAATATAATGCTTAATGGGTATGAAGGAGTGGAGACGGCCGTTGCAATTTAAATATCGTTACTTTCATTCAAAAGTTTGTTTCGGTTACTAGTTAAGATTTTCTTGGCTCTTCAAAAACTGTAATTACTTCAATTTTACCATCAATTGCTTTTAGTTTAATGCTTAAATCCTATTTGGAGCCGATAAAAATTAGATTCCATTTGAAAATATATTCAGTAGACTAAATGGAAAGGTGTGTGAAAATTTCAATCGATTGCCTGAATGATGGAGCGCCTTGAAAAAATTAACGCCCAAACGTTCATTCCAATTGTTCACATTTGACGTTTCTACTTCCAGGCCGTCCACATTGAGTGATAAACGTCAAAAATGCTTTGTTTTTCACGTGTTCATTGAATTGCCGAACATTTATTTTGATTTTTTGCCTGTATCAGCACGTTGTGATTGCACAGTACCGCGGTATTTTCATACACATACACGTCAAAACTATTGATTAGGTTATTTTTTTTAAATTCATTACATCGACGAAAAGTGACAAAGACAAAAAAAAATGTCTACAAAAAACAAGCAAAGAAAAATGAATGAAGAAGAGTCGGACGATTCATACAGTTCGGATTCGAGTGGTGATGACAATGAGGCATACACTGGAAACGAGGTAATTTGCATTTTGCAAAGCAATCATCTATTAATATCCCACATATAAGCTAAATTTAAACAAAAAAATTCCCAAGTTTGATCAAACAACGAACTAGAAAAAAAAGCAAATTGTAATCGGTCGCATTTTGCAGGTGATTCAGGTAGAATTCGAAGGACGCAACCCGATGACATCAGATTTTCATGGTATTCGCCAGTTGTTGCACCAGCTGTTCCTGAAATCCGATATTAATTTATCGGAATTAGCCGACATAGTCACTGGTATGTATTTCGTGCGCCGCGTAATTACAACGCGATTGCGATTTTTTCCAAGTCGAAGTCGTAGCCGGCAAAATGAATCGTCGTCGTCGCCATTGTTGTACGAGCAGTGAGATTGCGTGCTGAAATTGCACGATCGTGATTGATAACATTAGTAATAGCTGAAAATGTTGTTGTTGTTTTCTTTCCTATCCCATCGTAGATCAAAATTTTATCGGAAGTGTGGTGATTCAGAGTTTTCTCGATGGGGAAGATGACGAGGACAGTGACGATGATGAAAATACCGGCACGAATTTTGACTCGTCAGGCACGATTTTCGGTATCACCACCGCTGTAAATATATCAAAATCGCAGAGTCATGGTTGCATCGAAGATATACGTAAGCATCTACAGTCGAAATGTGATCAATTTGCGCAGCCCGAAGTCAAGCAAGCCTTCGACAATGCATTGAATGATGACACAAAACAAACGGCACTTCTGATCAATGAACGTTTTATCAATATTCCGCCACAAATTGCGGTGCCATTGCTTGAAAATCTGCAGAAAGAAATCGCTCGGGCCGCCGTCAAGAAAGAGAAATTCCGATTCAACAGCTACATTATGATTGTAAAGTTTAGTCGAAAGAAGAGCAAAGGAAAGCAAAAGGATCAGCCAGAGGATATTTTTTCGAATGGCGAAGAGGAAATCCTTGACGAATATGCCGATACCAGTTTTGAATACAGTGCCGAACGAGAGACCGATTCAACGCTATCAGGCAACTGGACAGAAAGTGATAGTACGCTTGTGCCGCATCGCAAAGTTGTTATTTTCGATGCAACCAAATTACCATTTGTAATTGATGCAATCAAAGAATTAATCAGCGAATAAACGAAAATCATTTCAAATGTGAATTCCAAAACCGAAAACGTTTTTTCTTTGTTTGTTTCTTCTTCTTTTGTGTGTTCCACTTCATTCAGACCCTTTTTTTTCTAAATTCGCAGCCAATATTAAAATAATTATCTCGCGAATGATGAAAATGCATGCAAAGGAGGTTTTGTGTTAAAAATCGGTTTTGGCTTTTCATTACAATTTCGATTATGGATGCAACAATTTGCTTCGATATTTATATATGTATATTGTAAAACGTGTGTGCATATAAATAGTCGTCTGTTTTCTGTGGAAAAATGAAATTTGAAATTTAAATTTTGGTGCACGAATGATCTCTCCATACACAGAGTGAATATATGTGGAATACGAAGAGAGCGAATGGAAAAAAAAATGCAGGCTCATTCACTTTGGCAGCGACGACGGACGACGATGACGACGATGACGACGGTAACCTCTCATCTGAACTGCAATCACAATCAAACACATGCACTGCTTAAGAATTATCTTTATATATAAAGCGAACGATTCAGTTCCAGACGAGACTTCCTTCACATTTGTCCAAAACTCGAAAAAAGTTCAATAAATGCTGCTGACCCCAAATTCGTCGGCTAGCGCGCTGCTCACACACATTGTGAACCAACCAACCGCCCGGTGAGTGTGTGATTGAGCTGAGCTCTGAGTTCAGTGAGTGAGTGAGTGAACGAATAAAATTCAGTTTTTCCTGAAAACACGTGAGTGACTGTGCTCGTTCTTTGTGAGCGAGAAAACGAGAGAATATATTGGCCTGGCCATCGTTGCCAAGTACATTTTTCTCTTATTTTTTTTCCCTGTAAGTTTTACTTCAACACACATATGCCAATGCTCTCTTTCATTCGAAGCCTCTCGCATCGAAGTGCGCTCTGTGCGGCTATACAAATATGTGTACATGATGTACAAGCAAATGAACGACCGGCGAATAGGGCCAAGTACATTGACTCCAACGAAAAGTGAAACAGAAACTCGATTTTTCTTTCCATTTTGACTCTCCAAAAGCATATAACATCAAATTCATTTTTTTTCTGTTCTGTTCTGTTCTTTTCCAAACCTTCAAGTATACACATATCGTTAAACCGGCCGCTTAAGCTAATTTGGAATTTAAGAAGAGAGAGATAGAGAAGAAAGAACTGTTCTAGGCCTATGCTGAAAGTGACCACAGTATGTGTGTGTGCGCGCGAGTGAATGTTAGAATCCGAAATTAGGCAAGAATGTTCATCTTTTCTCAAAATCTCTCGAAATGCTCACCAAAGAGACAACGAATTGAACTGTTGATGAGAAGATACGAACGAACGAACAAATGAAACAAAAAATACGACAAAGAATGCTTCGAATTCGAGTGTTTTGAGACAAAAGTTTTGTCTGCTCTCCGGCATAATTACACGAGAAAAATTAAACGCTTGTTATACGCATGACTTTAGATAAATATATAGATGAAAACCACTCACAATCAAAAGCTCGATGCTCATTTTAAATTGCCAATATTATAATTAAATGTAATTTCCATTGATCTGTGTCCGTGCCCGCTCCCTCTCTCTCTTTCTCTCGCATTTTTCGGTGCATTTTCATTAAATGCTAATTTCATTTGATATCTCATTATAGATATTTATGAGTTTGAACACATATCAAGTTGAGAGAAACGAAAAAAGGTAGCGGATACACGAAATCACTACACCGAAAATCCAATTTTTGTCAATTTCATTTGATATTTGGCCACTTGATCGTCGAAAACCACGCTTATGTGTGTGTGCCCAAGAAACAAACGAACAAATCCCAAAAGCGAATCACCGACGAAAACGACGTGAATCAAAGAATATATATATATATTTCCATTTGATAGGAATTGCGTGCTGGAGTTCGGTTATTGAGAAAACCCCTTATTAAACATAAATAGAATAAAAATATAAAAATATTTGGTTTTTGGTTGCGGTTTTGCTATTTGGCCTAATAAACAATTCTGGCCACATCGATTATTTTCCGTTTGGTTGCGAAGCTGTGTGCCGGTTCCTGTGCCTATGCCGTCGACCAAACGCTGCCTAAAAATCGAAAAATTCCTTGAAAATTGCATAATTAAATGCTCGGGATTCGATTTGTTTAAAATTATAGTTTTCGATTTCGATGAATATTTGCCAGACAAATGTTTAGCTCAAGTATTTCTCTCAATGTTCTTCTCTCATGTGCATTTTGATGTGATTTGCAACGAGAGCGCGCGAAATAAAAATGCATACAAATGCTCAGCATTGGAATTGGTGGCATTGAACATTTTCGGATTACATTTGTTTTCTTCTCGCACATGCACAGTAAAAAATAAAAGTCCACATCTAGCCGTTTTTTCAGCTAAAAACGCATTCAGCCGATATTGCTGCTAGTAATTTGAGCTGCAGGCGAAATTCCGCTTATAATCTAGTCGGTTTTTCGTCTGAAACTCAATTTACTAGGCAAAATATAAGACTGGGCGCCTCTACCAGTCGAAAATCCGCCTAAGTGTGGACTTTTATTTTTTACTGTGTGGAAGAACAATGGAATTGGGTGGCAAACGAGTGCAAAAATTCCGCGCCGATGCGAATGCGTCAGATCAGGGAAATTTTTCGGGGCGCAAAAATTGTTTCGCTTTTCAAATTACCCAACATTTAAACGATTCAACGAAATAACAATTATATCAGCCAAAAATCCAATCCTTTGGGAGCACATTTCGTACAGCGATGCGCTGGGTTTTTGTTTCACACGAACACCCATTCACGAAAAATTTACATTTACAGCAACGATAAATGAAAATAGCAGCAGCAGCAGCAACAACAACAACAAATAGCTCGCGCGCCGTCGACTGACTCGCACGAGGGGCAAACGTTCTCACTTGCAATCAGTAGAACAACAACAACAACAAAAAAACGAGACAATGCTAGATCATTGCCATACAATCAAACATTGCAGCGATAAAAGCGAATGAATTGCAACCTCAAACATAAACGCGAGGCGTTTCCTATATACAGTCATACAAAATTCACCGTAAACAATATGATCGATCGCGTGGATCTCCCCGTCCAACGATTGCATCGTTCTCTATTACTATCGAATGGATGCGGTGATAAGGAAAATTGTGTGTTTTATCACATTTGATTTGAATTTTACGAATGAAACGATGACTCGTGCGCATGCGAAGGATAAACTCACTTTGACACATTCTTTTCCTGTACGATCTCGATCGAAACACCATCATATTAAACACATACCCAGTGCAGTAGTTTATTTTCTCTCTCTAAAAGCGATTTTCTCGGAATTTGCAATTGTATAATCGCAACTAATCGTTCGATATCAATTTGACATGATGTGATGTGCCCCAGCCAGCATATATGTTTATATTCTATTTGATCGATAGATCGATCGATCGATCTCAATCGTGCAATTTGCTACGCATTCATGATGAAATGCGCTCCATATATCCAGTGAACATAATATACGCATCAAATGCGGAAACTCATTCATAGGCGGTCGTAGCTATGCCATATAGGTGACATATGTTCAAGTATGAGTTGGTTCATGCTGCTGCCACTGCTGCTGCTGCTGCTGTTGAATGTTGCTTTTTTTTCCTCTCCATTGAATCGGTTTTTTTCGCTTCTTATTTGGTTTTGCTTTGTAGTTCGAATCGCACATTGTTCATGTGTGAATAGACAAGCGCGGTGTGAGCATTTGAAGAGCAATATATAATATCACGTTTGCAATTCCACAAACGAAATGCATGTAATGCAAAGAGCAAATGATTGCTACGCCCGGCTAAATACACACACTCATACGGCCCCAATCGGTCGGTCGATTACGTATTGTGTCACACGTACAGCGCGAGCTGCGGAGACGGCAGTAGCAGCGAACGCGTGCACATTTTTTTCCCGAGCAAAGAGACTCTCTTCAGAGAAATTCGTACACTATCAACGCGTACTGGCCGTATCACCATCGATGGAACGCTTTTCCTCTCATTTCTCTCGCATTTCTTTTCGCTGCGATGCTGTATGTTGCGCGCGTGCACACATGCATACACACAATGTGCTCTCGCGCACAGTATGGGTTGAAGCGCACACCGTGTGTATCAGCAGCACAGCCGTTGTGTCGATTGAACATGTGCTAGTGGCACACACTACGTAAGTATAGGTATTTCGATCGATCGCCGCTATAAAACATCGTTCAACTTCGACTTACTCGTTAGTTCAAACATATACACCGAACGCACAGTATCAACGAAAGAATATTTCGAGGTTTCTCTCTCACACTTACCCGAAATAGACAAAAAACAGATCTTACAATCAAACAAATCGAATTACATTTTCCAAAATACGTAAATTTTGTTCCAAAAAAAGTCCAAGTCAAAAATCAAAACGTTCTCGTGCCGAATCGCCACTGAATTTAATGTGTGTTCAAATAGTGATTTCTTTTAACAAAAACATACAAAAATTAAATAACGATAAATTCGACGCGTAAATTAAAAAAGTATTAGTCATTGTTTCGCGTTCAAACCACATAAAACGAAACAAAACACGTAGCGTAAATTTACAAATTGATTGATCATATCACGAACGAAAAAGATAAATTTTCTAAAATTAAGTTATACAAAATGAATTCAACATTGGATCCAACTGGCCATTATTAGATGTGCCCCAACAAAACACACAACCAACGAATAGCAAATGCTTACACACACCGGCTACGTAATAACTAAAAAAGCATATTAGTCAAATCATCATCACCGTTGTCGTCAATCATCATTGAATCTCCCCAACAGCAGCTTGTTTTTCAACTATCTATCGCTAGCGCGCCTATCAACGTCGTCGACTTTGTTGCACAGTCAAGTTTTCATTGCAGTCAAGTAATTAGTTATAAATTAATTACTCATACTTCATTTTTGTGCTCTGGGAAGTGCTGCGGATCGCCTGTTAAATTTGATAGCTACTCGTAGCAAATAGAGGAAAAAAAACATTGTTTTGAGGGAATCCCAATTGATCAAGCACA